TGTGCGCGGTCCAAAGCTGCATCGAATGGTATATAAGACTTTCCTTCAAACTTGTTGTGTTCTGAGAAAATTACGAAAAACGCCTCGGAATGGGCTCGCGGAGCTATTGTTGAAAGCTGGGAACCAAGGGTATAGAACCCCATAAAATTGTATGCTCATTCATTCTAGATACCTTTCGAGAAGATCTGAAATGGGGCCGATCCTCGTTCTTATTGCACCCCGTCCTTTTGGTCACTTTTTTTATTATTGACATTGCCATGTATTCTCTAAACATTGAACTCACATGATTTTTCATTTTTATATTCATTTTTTAATGTAAATCTATTTACAAATAGAGTGTTGTTAAATAGTAAAAGAGAATTGAATTCAATTACACATATGTGTATATAAAAAAACCTGGTCAAAAGTTAAGCGATAATGATATAAACAAATAAACAAGATACTACTAACAACAAACGTACATAAGAATAAGAATAAGAATAAATGTGCAAAAACAACAATAGTACAAGATTAGATTTCAACGACAACATAGAGACATTAACAACAACAAAAAATAACAACTTATTATAATAATGAAAACTAAAAAAAACAACAACAATGATATAGACGTAATTAATGTATAGGTAGTCTTGCAAAACTGTATTAAGTGCAAAAAAAATTGAAGATCAACTCCGAGAGGTAGACGTGCTAATCTATAGTTTTCTCAAATGTATATACTCGAATATGTAATGGATATGTTCAGATAGAGAAAAGAGGTGTGAGGAGGAAGAATTCTATTCTAATTTTCCTTGAAGATTGAAACTTTGTTCCACACATGTCATTTTGATTTGAGTAAAAGTAAAACAGTATACTCTATTGAATTTGATGGACACTTTCGAGGTATATGGCAGGTGCTCTATTGTTAGGTTAGATCTAATTATATAAGTATGTGACTGTGTACGAGTTCGCGCACAGGATTGAGAATAAAAAATACGATTAAAAAAGAATGAAAATAAAAACAAAAAAATTGCACGTATGCGATTTTCTCTTTCAACATTATCTGAACAATTCATTATTTTTTGTTTCTTTTTTTTTCTAGTTAAATAACAGTCGATGGTAATTTATCGTATGGTGGACCAACCACTGTCGATGATGATTGTCCACCGCAATGCGCTGATTGTTGTTGTTGAACAGGTCGTCTAGGAAGAGTATTATTATGATGAGAAATAGCCGTTTGATCAGATAAAAACGAATTATTATTATTATTATTATTATTATTGTTGCTGTTTATATTACTGCTAGTATTACTGTTATTATTCGTCAATTGTTGTAAAACATTCACACATTCGACATTATTTGACATGTAAGCACATTGAAGAGGAGTACGACCAGAACTATCCAGTGGAAATGGATCGGCTCCGTACTAAAACAACAACAAAAATAAAGATATCATCGTATGATGAAAGTTGCGAGGTGGTTTTCTTTTCCACAGTAAACGAGATCTTACCCATAAAAGTAATTGTAAAATAGTGACATTGCCATTAGTGGCAGCTAGGTGCATTGGTGTTGTTATTGGTACACGTTTATCGAGGTTATTTAAATCCTCTACTTTTTGATGATGAGCTAATATCAGAATAATTGTAAATAGATCCATTCTATTAATAGCGTCAATCAATTGACGAAAAAGGGAAGTGGGTGGATTGGATGGGGATAAAAGAGGTAAAAATAATTTTTGTTCATATTTATCACGAATCCATCGTTCTCGTTCCGATCTTAAACAGAAAAGAAAGAAATTAGAACATAAAACGCATTTTTACTTGATCTATGCTTACAATGATGCATTTGGTAACGGTTTTTGTCGTTGCCTAGTATTTGCTTCCCAAACTGAATTAACCATTTTATTACCAATAGAACGCATTACATGCATCAATTCAGGTCTTCAAAAAAATGAAACCATTGAATGATAGATTAGAAAATTTTTTAACTTTTTTTAACTACAGATTGTTTTAAATCACATTTACTTACGGCCATTCGTCTAATTCCAACGATCTTACACGCGATAAATGTGTACCCAAATTACGATGTAATGATGCACAATCCATACAAATTAATGCACCTAAATTTAAACTAGCCCAATTTGGATCTTAAATAAAAAAATAGATCATTTTTATCAACGGTTCATTTTCTCGTTATATATTCTCGTTTACTTGTTTGATCACAATCGGCACAAGTTGAATTTCCTGGCATTTGTTTAATCACTTGTATCATTGCTTGATCAGCCAATTGTGATTGACCACCACCACTTTTAGCTGCTCGTTGAGCTTTTGAACTCTCAATATTTTGTAATGAAAATAAAATTTGTTGTTCAATCGATTGTACCCATTCATCTCGTTCTTCTTGTGTACTTGCTTCAAAATGCCATTGTTTATCGATACTTATTAGAATAAATTCATTTTCTTCACCATCATCTTCTAATGGTGTTTTTGAATGCATACCGTTCCCACTTGGTGTATTTGTTAAACTACTCATAATACTTGATGCCGATGATTCTTGACCTTGTTGTTGTTTTGAATTACTATGAGTACTTTTTAACATTCGTCGATGACGTTTTTTAGCATTCGGTGTTTCAACTTTGGCACCTATTGGAGAAGAAACAAGATTGTCAACACCATTTAAACCTAGAAAGAGAAAAATAAAGTAAAATAGATGAAAATATAAATATAATATCAGCAAGAAGAAATGGATAACTTTATTTATTTCATGCAACGGCGAAGGCAACAACAATTATAGCTAAGCAGCAGCAACAGAAGAAATCTTACCATTCAAAAGAAAATTTTCATTCAATCATAGCCACTCGTAGCAGCAGAAAGAAATAAAAAAATAAATATTAGAATCAAAACATATCTTAGAATTTTTTTTCAATACTTAAACTAAATAAAACGAGCATTTTTATACTCTAATTCATTATCCGCAAATAACAAAAAATTTTGAACTGAGATCGATGATTCAAGTAATACTGAAAAATGTTCAACTCGTCAACATCCAATGAAGCAGGAAAAACTAGTGCTAGTATGGTTGTTGTTTTTTTATGTTAAAGGAAGAAACGCTCATAGCATTCTCTATAAATGCACTAGATATCAGGTCAAAAATTAAACAACTTCTCATCATTCTGCTTTCTTTTCAATTTTACACAGTTAAATACACACCAGGAGTAACGTTCGAATTCGATATAACTACAGCATCGGATAAATCATTTAATTTTGTATCATTACTTGTACTTCTCAAAGCAACACGAGGTTTATTTGTGCCTGGAATTTTTATTGTTGTTCGTTGTAAAATAATCTCTTTACCATGTACATCATGTTCATAATCCTAAAAAACAAATACATACTGATTCATAGATAACATTTAAAATCACAAAGATAAATTTCTTCTTACACCCACTATCTAGTAAGATGAAAACAAATTGATACAACAACGATGCATTTCTACACTTACATTAATTGATGGATGATAAATGAGTCTGCCATCGTCTAATAATACAACATATTTTTTTTTCCATTCACGATTTATACTGTTTGTGCCCTTTTTATATAACAAACCCTTTTAAAAAGAAAATAACATAGCATTTAATTTCTCTAGTTAACTTATAATGCAGAATAGTTTACCTGTTTAATAGGTATTGCTCGTCCATGTCCTACTCGATCAGCTTTATTTTTATCATCATCTTTTTTTCCAGGCTAAAATAAAAATAATACATATGACTAACATCTTATTCAATAATAATTTATCTTTCTTACAGTGAATAAGTTCGATTTCCGTTTTGTTTCTTTTCGTTTTTGTGTAGGTGTTGAACTTGGTGTTAATGGTTCATTGAGCTAGAATGATACACAATATAAAAGAATATTGTTTAACGTGAAATCTGCCTCTTTTGTACCAGTCCTGTTTGTTGCTGATGTTGAGATTGTAGCGATTGTTGTTCACTTAATGTACTTAGTTTTGCTGGCTCTTTAAATGATCGACTTCGTTTATCAAGTTGAAGTGCGGAAGACGGTAATATTGTTGAACGATCTTTAACGCCATTTGACTAAAAGAATCAACACATAATTAGTTGGAAACTGTGCTACTTGAAAACTGTACAGGCGAAAGAGAGTGCAGCCAGTTTACTGTTCGACACTTCTATGTGAAACTGAATACTGAACAGTCAAACAAAGAATACAATTTTAATAAAAAAAATTGTGGTCGTATTTAATTTAAACAATTAAACCTCAAGATGCAACTTACATTATAGCAGGGGGAATTTTCAGAACAACAAGCAACAAAAATATTAAAAAAAAACACTTTCAGAAGTGTTTAACACCAAATTCAACAGTAACAATCAAACATCGTCCGCTTTCGATACCTTATGAAACATTTCCTATTTTGATCTAAATACCATTCAATACAGTCCTGTTAGCAATAGATCATAGAAGAGTTCATTATTTAAACCATCAGTCTGTAATCCTGATCATCAAACTACTTTAGATCTCTCGAAAAATCGTGCCACATCAACAGTCAAAAGCTGAAATCAATAATATGTTCAAGCTCAATGAACATTAGGAACTATGACAAGTCATCATCTGTTGCATTTCAATAGACACCAGAGTCTCTGCCACTAACCATACGTATCTGTTTCTGTACCCAAAGATATCACAAGACATGTGAAAGCAGTGTAAGGATTGTGAGTATAGTCGTTTATATTGATCTGGCAAATTTTTGTAAGTAATAGTAATGATTTGGCCTTGAACTTCTGATCTGTCAACGGCATCTTATCAGTTGGCAGTTGTTAACCTCAAGCATTTCTGACAGAGAAGAGGCTTCCACCTATATAAATCAAGACTTTATTGAAAAAATGAAGATTTTACTCATTAAAAAATGTTTGATCATTCATTGTTTTTATTTATCCAGGATTAATTTAAAGTAGTATTTGTAAAAACTGCGCTTCAAATAAATCTGGTCGTCACATATTTCACAACTGTATTTAATACGAATGAATATTCGAGTAGGTCCTCATTTTTAGATCAGAACTTGGGAAAAAAGCTTCACTTTGCACAATTTCCGATATTGTAACTAACTAACTAATTAACACTCGTGTAACACCACTAGAAACAATCGTGCGTAGTGTTGGAGTTGAATTGTGTCAGAAACAACGTAGAGTAAGAAACTCTGTGTAAAGAGAACTTGCGAAACAATCCTCTGAGTGCTTGAGAGTTTCATATTTGTCCTGATTGTAGAACGGTTTCGTGTTTCATTTGTTACTCTAATAGTTCTAGAAAAAAAACAGCAACCAAAGTGAACTGTAGATTCGAATCTGATGTCTATTCACCACAACAGGGGTTCACAACATGTTAAAAAAATGAATTTTTCTGCAGACATGAACGCACTACTCAAACTCAACGCTACGTTCGATTGTTTCTTGTACTGTCTTACGACTAACTCCTCTTAGGACAGCGTAAAAACTTCAGAAAATCAGCAGAAATCCAAAACATTTTCTAGAAATCTGCCGATTTCTAAGATTCGGGACCAGTCCCTTTACGGTCTCTATAATCGAGTACCTATGATCCATAAGTTCAGCTTCTAAAACCGTTCATATCAAAGGTTAGTTGATTTTTTACTTTCAGTTCCAACTTTTTTTCAACAGTTCTTCTATCTGACATTGTTGCATCCCTAATTACAATCATTTAATTGTTATACAAATCATCATTTGCTGTATGATACTACATTTACTGGAAATTTTATTAGAAAGCTCAATTAGAAACGCAACATTCTCGGAACGTTCAAAGACATCGAATCTTTTTCTAATAGGATTCAAGATTTACGATCGATCAAAATCCTTGGTCTACTTACTGGCCCCATTGCATTATTAATACATTGCGCCAATTGTGCCACAGCCATAATTGGTTGTCCTCCGATTCCCGCTGGAATTTCTTGTCCTTGTCCTTGATGTTGTTGGTAATGATAAGATGAGAATACGGATGCCGGTGCTGTTTGTGCAAGACTATTGCCGACAATGTAAGATGTTGGCACACTTTGATTATTGGTTGTTAAACGTTGAGATTGTGATTGAGATTGCTGTTGAAAATGATGAGTAGGGCAGGAATTTGATAGACTTGCCGACGATGTTGTGGTATTAGTATTCGTTGTTCCGCTTGACGAATTTAAAAATGACGCTTGCGGAGTTAATGAACGATGGGAAGCAATTGATGGAGGTATAAGTGAACTATAACGTTGTTGAATTACTTTTTGACAAGCTGAATGAAACAGCAAAGTAAAAATTCAGTTTATTAAATAACAAGTAAAACTATGAAAAGAGAAAAACTGACAAATTTTTCTACTGTACAGTAGCCGTCGAAAGTATCCAGCTTCTTATAGCCGCCCTGAAATTTTGTACATACGCAGCTGATCAGTTAACAACTGGTAGTCTTTTCACTGGATGATTCTTTGGAGAGATATGGGTTTCACTTTTTTGCGAAAACATGCTAATATTCTCTTCCTAAGAGAGATGAACGCTTTATTTTTGCACCAAAATGTAATAGTGGCTGTTGGCTGTGTACAATACGAATTAGTGTAGCTGTTTACCCTATCCCAAGTGTAAAGATTTCGCATAAATCCGATGTTTTTATGCTAATCGTCCACAGCCAACAGTCACTGCTACATTTTGGTGTAAAAATAAAACGTCCATCTCTCTTGGATCAGAGAATATTAGTATTTTTTAACAATAAAGTGAAACCCGTATATCACAAGAATCATCTAGTGGAAAAGACTACAACTTGTTAACCGATCAGTGTCCCGTCTAGGCTGCGTATGTACAAAATTTCCAATTCAGCACAACAGCCAAATGCTATTTTTTTCCGCTAGAAGAGACCGTTGTAATTCAGAGGTCTTTGTAAATAAAAGTTTTCAACTAAATTCAAAATTTGTTTGCTTGTATTTTTATCATACCATCATTAAAAACTCTCTCAACGTTCAGTCCGTATGTGGCACATGTTTCATAGTATGAACATCGTTTTAATTCATTTGATAATTTTCGCGCTCGTTCTTCATGTATACATCTTGGGTTACTTTCACTAATGGCATCTTGTGTACCAACTAAAACAAATGGCATATCCGATGTATTTCGGTAATGATTCATTTTTGTATAATATTGATAAACAGTCTTGAAACTGTCTTCATTTTCTAAACTAAATACAAATATAACCGCATCAACCCAATGAGTAAACTAAATGAGAGAAAACAAATTATAAACTAAAATATAGAGACGCTTTTACTTGTTAGTCACCTGTGTATCTGGTGCAGAGCCTTCATCTCGAATTAAAAACAAAAAACTTTGATTATCAATAACAATTTCTTTTTTAAATCTTCCCCCTACAACAGAACAATTTTGAGGTATTTTAATTAAGTACAATAACAGTAGAATTTTACCTTCTGGTGATTCTTCTTGCATATATGTTCCGGTAAGAAATCGATGTACAAGAGCTGATTTTCCACTTGACACAGTAC